GTGGACATCATCAAGAGAATGGGTCTAGATGTCTATCGATTCTCAATCTCACGGTCCAGAGTGTTATCGTGTAAGATAATCACTTTTATCTATTTTCACTATGGGAGTCCAATCATATACGGTTAGGTCACTAGTATGTTGGTTCTTTTGTATATTATTTTGATTATCTAAAATTTTCAACTTACAGACGAGAATCTAAGTGGAGGTGTAAACCAACAAGGAATAAATTACTACAACCACCTCATAGACGAGCTAAAAAACAAGAGTAAAGATTGACTCTCTCTCATTACTGATTTGCTTAATTTTGTCTGTCTGTATAATTGCTCATCTAATTAGAACTGTGTATACCATAAAATTAATATTTGTAGGTCTTGAGCCTTATGTTACTCTCTATCATTGGGATCTTCCCCAAGCCTTAGAGGAGCTGTATGGTGGTTTCATGAGTCCACGAATTTTGTAAGCCACTCAATTTCATCTTATAAATGTTCATGGCTTCATGTACTTGATTATTATTTACCACAATTGTTGAAAACTAAATTTAAAGGGACGATTTTCGTGACTATGAGGACCTTTGCTTCAAGAATTTTGACGATCGAGTGAAGAACTGGATCACATTGAATGAGTCACGGAGCTATATATAGCAGTGCTGGATATTCATCCGGTGACTTTGCTCCTGGTCGATGCTCTTCGTGGCTACAAAAGAATTGCACCGGGGGAGATTCAGGCACCGAACCATATAATGTGTCACACAACCAGCTTCTTGCTCATGCTGCTGCTGTCAAATTATATAAAGAGAAGTATCAGGTGGCACATAAGAATCCTAGATATATACAACATTAATGTAACATTGTTCAATTACATAAAGGGACTATATATATGTTTTGACCTGATAATATATATACACGCAGAGAGAACAAAAGGGAAATATTGGGATTACTCTTGTTTCACAATGGATGGTGCCTTACTCTAATTCGAGTCTCGACATTCGTGCTTCGCTACGAGCCCAGGATTTCATGCTTGGATGGTGAGCACTATTGCATGCTGCATGCTTTCAAGAAATCAATTATACTCTTTGACATATTTTTTTTTTTTTTGAAAAGTTCAATGATTATAAGTTCTATATGCATGATAAACATGATTTGAAGAAAGTTATGTATCATCAACTAAACTATGTGATTGAAATGACATATATCGAAATTTATTCCAAGAAATTTCTTTAGTACTTTTAAGTGGAAACATATACTCCGTATATCCTTTTACTGTTGACAGATCTCTTATTGTTATGTGTATTTCTTTTTGTTAGAATTACACTGCAACCATCTAAGATAGTTTCCAATTTAAGTTTTGCCAGTTGAGAATTCTAAATAAACTTATTTCATTTATATATATATATATGTATATGTATATATATATATATATATATATATTAACTTTACAACTTCCACATGTATTCCAGGTTTATGGACCCATTAGTAAATGGTTATTATCCTCTCACCATGCAAGCACTTGTTGGAAAGCGACTTCCAAAGTTCTCTAAAGAAGAGTCCGAGATGGTAAAAGGGTCATATAATTTTATTGGCATAAATTACTACACTGCTGTTTATGCAGCCCATATATCCAACTACAGTGTTGTAGCAACAGATTTCGGAGTTAATCTTACATGTAAGTTCTCTCAAAGTCGTCGAATTTCGCTTTTAGTTGGATTCAAAATCATAGTGTATCTTCTTTTGTACTAAAGAACCATGAAATTTGTTTGTTCTAGCATCGTGGAATTGGGTCCTTACCGGTGAACAGGTATATATATATATATATATATGTTTTTTTTTATTTTTTATTTTTTTTTATTTTTTATGGTAAAGTAAAACACACGCACACTTTTTTGCTCACGCTGGGGCTCGAACCCCTCCCCTCTTCTTTGAAGATGAGGAGGTTATACCATTGGGCCAAAGGCCGTTTGGTATAAAATTGTTTTGTTTATAATTGATTCTTAATCATGTTACAGGCTGGTTCAGATTGGCTTCATATTTATCCAAGAGGGATTTGGGATCTACTCTACATGAAAATGAAATACAACAATCCAATTTTTTATATTACAGAAAATGGTAACTAATCTATTATCCTACACACACAAGGTTCCATAGTCAAGCAAGGCCAATCTAAAAGAAGGCACATATATATATATATATACACACACACACAATTTTGACATTATAAATCCCTTGTTTTTGTTTTTTAGGGGTTGATGAGGTCAACAATGCGACACTGCCGCTTGAGAAAACCCTAATTGACAACTTCAAGATAAAGTACTATTATCAACATCTTGCTTTTATTCTACGAGCAATCAAGTAAGTTTTTAAAATGATGGTGAATTGCAGAGTTATAAGAATGACTATATTTATAATATATGTGTGTGTTTGTGTGTGGGGTTTTGATTTTTAGTCTTTTTCTTTTTAATTTTTTATATATAGGGACGGGGTCAATCTGAATGGCTAATTTGGACAATTTTGAATAGAGTGTTGGTTATACTGTTCGTTTTGGCATCAACTATGTAGACTATAATGATGGATTAAAAAGATATCCAAAACTCTCAGCCCAATGATTCAAGAACTTTCTACAAAAATAGAGACAAAATACTTACCCAAAAAATATAAATAGAGATAATTTTCTTATCCTACATGTCACTCCAATAATGTTGAACCCTATCCTGTATCAATAAGCATAAGATAATTATCCATCTCCTGCATCGTTCTTAATAAGGATATTGAATGTCGACGTTGTTTTTGTTGAAATGCTATGTACGAATTTATAATTTGGCATGAATGTCAAACCTTGTTATCTGAGTATGTAATCATTTATCGACCATCAGTCCTTGATGAGGCAAAAATTTTAGCACTCAATTTCTGGCTAGCAGTCAAATGAAAAATTGTATCAAATTTAATTTAATTTGGCATGCACTAGACATGAGGAATGCATAATGGAGCTAATATATGACTTTATCATTTTTTTCCTGGTAAATATATATTATATTAGTACCATTATGCTCCAATGTCTTTTATTTGGAGTCGCTACTTAATATTAGGTGAGTTTCGGTGTATTAGGTCGTTGATCGACGATGAACAACCACGTACCCTTTTCACACTCTCTGGGAGATTGTACGATCGCCTACGATGAAACCCTCACTCACTGATATACCACCGAAATCAAATCCTGGCCCACCAAACCCTAATTCGTCACCTCCTATACTTCACTTACTCGCACGTTGCCACCATTGACAAACACCAGCTATTGTCCACAAGGACTAGGGCTGCAACTTGGGCAGGCTAATCTAGCCCAACCCGAAATTTTAAAATTTGGGCTTTAAATTCACAAATTGGGCTCATGTTCGGATTAAGTTTTGTCAAAACCCAAACATATTCAGGTTGGGCTCGGGCTTAACTCGAACCCAACCCAAAACCCAAAACAAAAAATAAATAAATAATTTAATCTTTTTTTCTCCTCTCTCTCTCTCTCTCCTTTCTCTTTCGCTTTCTCTCTCCCCTCTGCTACCGCCGCCGCCCCTCTTACAGGCCATGATTAATTGATTTGTAAAACAAGAATTATAGTCTTAAAGACCTTAATTAATTGATTTAGAAAAAAAAAATTAAAACAAAACCTATACATACAAGTTAGCAGTTGTACAGAGAGAGGGGGGCAAGCTTGAGAATTGAGAGACAATGGCTGAAACTTGCGAACGGCAAACCCTAACTGGAATAGCGGGGGATGGAAACTGAAAGATTTGGGTTTTGATTTTTTGAACAATCTGAAACTGAAAGATATGGGTTTTGATTTTTTGAACAATTTGAAATGATATGCCGATATGGGTTTTAAACTTTTGATTCTTGCAGGCAGATAGATAAAACTGAAACATATGGGTTTTGAAATTCTGATTCTTGTAGATTTTGTAGTTTGCAGTGAGAGAGAGACCGGGGGGGGGGGGGGTTCTGATTCTTGTAGATTTTGTAGTTTGCAGTGAGAGAGAGACCGCGGGGGGGGGGGGGGGGGGGGGGGGGGCGGGGGCAATGGAGATGGAGGCGATAGGGGAGGCTGAAATGATTTGCCGGAGGCGATAGGGGAGGCTGAAATGATTTGCCCTAAAAATATTTTGTTTTTTATAATAATATAATCAAATATATATTATATATATATAATAATATATTATATATATATATATATATAATATTTCTGAAAAAAAAAAATTTAAAAAAAAAAAAAAAAAAAAAAACTCAACCCGTCAATCCGATCAAATCCGTCCAAAAATATTCGGTCCGGATTACTACCATAATTCATGTTAAGTACAATTTAGGCTGGCCTAACTCAACTCGATTTGAGTTGAAGTTGGGTTGGGATTGAACTAAATTGGACCAGCCTAAGTTACAACTCTAACAAGGACCACCATGGACAAACACCAGTGATGGACGATATCACATCAACATCCATACCCGAGGACCGAGGTGTGGTTGTACGTTCGACTCTACGACAAGCTGGCCGAAAATTGATACAAATCTCTTCTCATCTCCCTGCAAATTAATTTTCTCTTGGTCATTTTGGTTCTACGCGTATCTTCACATCTCATAGGTGTAATTAGTATAATACAAGACACTTAATACCATAAATAACACTTATTATTATTACTACTACTTGTTTTACTATTGTTGTTTATTATTACGGTGATTATTGATATTTAATATATATATATATATATATAATTACTTTCCTATTAAAATATTTATTTATTTTGCTCTGACTCTCCCATTGCCGACACCTAAGGTCGGATATGATAAGGCGACACTGTTAATTAGTGTTAGGTAGACGAGTATATTTTCTTCTTTTAAGGTAGATTATATTATAACTTTTTTTTTTGGTTAAAATTATATTATAACTTATGCACTACACATGTATTGAATCTGATACAATTTTCATAAAATAAAAAGTTAATAAAAACATTATATTCAATAATAAAAACCTTGATAGACAATAATAAAGTAGTACTTTTTTCTTTTCTTTTCTTTTTTTTTTTTTTTTTTTTTTTTCGAAAGGTAAAGTTAAAGTTTTTTAAATAAGGACCAAATTACAAATGTTGATAGTTAGCCCAGGCTAACTAAACGAAACCCAACCCAGCTTACAAGGCCCAGAACCCGAAGGAAACCCAAGCTCGAATAAACGGTAAGATTAAGGATAATTACACATGGAGAAGAAGAAATCTTCTGCTTCTTGATAGAAATACGTACAACACAACATTATTGGATAATTGAATACAAGTGTTTTTTTTTTTTAAGGGTAAAATGATAAATTTGATTATAACAAAAGAGATAGGTTAGCAATAGCTAACCATTACATGCAATGTACAATGGAGCATGGGTAGCCCAAACAAGCGGACCGAATTGAATACAAGTGTTGTATGCCTTATTTCTGCATAAAATTCTTAAACCATTTGGCTGAGAGTTTTGGGTATCTTTTTAATCCATCTTTGTAATCCACATAGTAAATGCCGAAACGAACTGTGTAACCCGAGACCCATTCAAAATTGTCCAATATTGACCATGCAAAGTATCCCTTAACATCGACACCATTCCTACATATAGATAGGAAAAGAAAACAAGAAATGGTCAATGTCAATTTTTTTATTTTTTATTTATAAATATCAATCTCATATCAAATACTTCGTTCAAGAAATTTTTGTTTGTAAACCCACTTGATTGCTCGGTGAAGGAAAGCAAGATGGCGATAGTAATACTCTACTCTAAAGTTGTCGATGAGGGCTTCTTTAAGTGGTAATGTCGCATTATTTACCTCATCAATCCCTACAAAATAATATGAAATTTTTAGAGTCAAAATTTGTATCAATATTTTATTTTTTGAATCTATAAATCTGTGAATAAATAAGTTTTGTCGCTTTAAAATGGTGAAAGAATTAAACTAATCGTTACCATTTTCTGTAATGTAAAGAGGTGGATTATTATATTTTCTCTTTATGTAGAGTAGAAGATGCCAAATCCCTTTCGGATAAACATGGAGCCATTTTGAAGCAGCCTGCACCAACAGAATTAACAATGTTAACATAAACATCCCTTTTTTCATACAAATTGTAAAAATCTCAACTCAAAAAGTACTAAAAGAAAGGTTACTAAATTTGTAAAGAGTAATGCTATATGCCAAAGAGTTCGAACACGGGAAATGGGGAGCTGAAACTCCCAATTCAATGGATACACTCAACTGGGTTTCACACCACAACACTCCTAATTAAAATCGTTACGGATTTGTAAAATGGTACCTGTACACCAATAGGGACTCCATTCTTCTCAGCTAGAAAAAAGAAAATCAATGTCTATTTTAGCATGAAGTTACAACATAGGTTTGAAAATAGTAGCAAAAGAGTGAGGATTGAAGAACTTACAGGTAAGCTTAGCTAGGGAATCTGTTTTGTAACTTACATTTAGAGCATTGGAATAGGGTTCATGAGCTGCATATTTTGCAGTATAATAGTTCAAGCCAATAAAATCATATGACCCCTTTACCATCATGGATTGTTCTTCCGTAAATTTTGGAAGTCGGTGCCTGACACGAGCTCGCATTGTACGTGGATAATCACCATATACTAATGGGTTCATAAACCTGGAATAGATATAGCAATTTGTGTAGATATAATTAAATGACTATAATTTTTCATATACGTAGTAATTATGAAAGGAAAAAAAAAAAATAAATAAACGGATTTTAAGTTATTTTATATTTCTAACAAGACAAAGACATCAGCAGTAAAATATTACTGCTTTTGACTTAATTTAGACGTATTGAAGGACATGATATAGCAGTGGGATGAAGTCCTTTTTCTTTAATTGGAGAGGGCTCATTAATTGGTGTTCATACACGTGAATTCGAAGTCCTTGTTTTTTATCCCCTTTAAAAATACTATGTATTTATAAAATTTGAATTTGTATGTTTGGAAAAGTCAATCACTTTTATTGAATTTTTGGTTCAGTAGTCTATTTTTAAAGAACTTTAAAATATGAAAATACAACTATAGTTCTCTCAATATATATATATATATATATTAACTGTCAATCATTTAGATATTTGTATAATATTTTGATTTTTTATATAAAATTGAACCAAATAAACCCAATACTATTTAGCCAAATAATGTCTGATGAATACTTTACTGTTCTTGACATATTTTTTTTTGTCTTAGTTGATACTTACACACCTGTATCTTTATTAAAGTTTGAATCCCGAACCTTTCTTCGAGAAGTAGGGGCTTGGTAGTACTGAGTCACTGGTTCGTTGATAATGCTTTTGATATGTTGATGACATGATATCACCAATTTATTAAATGTTGACACGTAGAGATATGACATACTAAAATAAATATATACTTTATCAGTTCTGAAATAAGTGTTTGCTCGGTGAATCAAAGTTTCAAAACCGAACACCTATTTTGAAATAGAGGGAATACATTTTTATTTAGTTGACAACTTACACCAATGACGTGGTATTATTAGTGCAGAAAAGTCTTTGTTGTACCAACGGTACATTAAATAACCAAACAATGGTTGTACTCCTACCACACTGCCCCTAACTTTTGGTTGGTGAATTACAATAATGCCCATTATATACATGTGCTGCCAGTATCCGATGTCAGCAACTACATTTTAAATTTCCAAAATGCCCTAATTAGATTGCTTCCCATGGAAGACTTCTTTTGACGATCCATTTCTTCTTCTCTCTGAACTCACTAACCCTATTTACTCTCCTCTTTCATTTCAGTGCCACATACTCAAACGAAACCCTAAATTAATAATACTCGATCTAGACTTATACGAAACCCTAAATCAGTAAAACTCAATGTCTCATTATCGGCCACGAACTTTAAATTTATGCATCACATAATTCACACAGAGAGAGAGAGCATTTATATTCATACCATGAACTTCTCAAACACTGTTATAGAGAATAAAAAGGAATGTGCAATTAATTCTTACCATCCAAGCATGAAATCTAGGGACCGTACTGCAGCCCGGCCATCCAGATTCGAATTAGAAAAGGCCACCACCCAATCTGAAACAAGAGTAATTCCTATCTTTCCTTTTTGTGATGCCTGTTTACATTTCTAAATTAGTGAATCACAAGGTTATAATAGCAAAGAATATATATATTAAGTGAAAAACTGGACTGACATCATATAAATCTCGTGTGTTTCTACCTTTTAAAAATTATTTTATTTTATCATCACAGTGCTTAGTAAGTTTATTCTTCGACTTGAAAAGCATTAAAAATTAACACAGTGATAATATATATATATATATATATATAGATGGGTAAGTAAACAGTCATAATATTAACTGGATTTGTGTAAAATGTTTTAATATTTACAAATGTTACCTGATACTTTTCTTTGTATAATTTTACAGCGGTTGCATGACTAAGAAGCTGGTAATGAGCCACAAGATATGGTTCAGTGCCTGAATCTCCTCCGGTGCAATTGTTTTGTAGCCAAGCAGAGCATCGACCAGGTGCATAGCCACCAGATGCATACCCAGCACTGCTAAAGGACCATGGCTCATTCAAAGTGATCCAGTGTTTCACCCGATCACCAAATCTCTTGAAGCAAAGCTCCGAGAAATCACGAAAATCATTCCTATCAAGTTGTGTTATATTATCAATGCTATCTCAACTAATTAGAATTGCACTAATCCCATGTTTGAAAGCACGAAATTCGCATTTTGGATTTTAAATTGAAGATAATTTAGTTTACATTTTGTACGAAATGGTCGATTCAATACTTCCAAATGCAATCAGAGTTTTTAAAAAATTGCTAATGAAATAATAAAATGAAAATCCAGTGGCTTACACAATTTGAGGACTCCGGAAACCGCCATACTCATCCTCCAAAGCTTGAGGCATATCCCAATGGAAGAGAGTCACAAAGGGCACTACACCTACATATGTATGTTGATAGGAACTTTATATATATATGAACAATATAGACGTACATATATGTATATATATAAATTACTATATGGGAAAGCATGACAGAACTCATTACCCTTGGCTACGAGATCGTCAATGAGGTGGTTGTAGTATTCAATTCCTTCCTCGTTCACGCCTCCACTTAGTTTCCCAACTGTAATTTACAAAACTTTTACAGAATCAAAATAGGGAAAAACAGAAAGAGAAAATTAATTGAAAATATTGAACCTCCGAGTAAAATTATCTCTTTATTTGTTATTATTAATATTATTATTTATACAAAATCACTGATCTATCACAATTTTGTTATTTAAGAAAAAATTCCTAAACTACAAAACACTCTTTGATCTGTCAAGCATTTCATTTACAAATAACACTCATTCCTTATTCAACCGTTAATGGCACTATAAAATTGCCTAATTTCTCTCATAAAATGATAAAAAAGTAAAGAAAGAAAACCCATCAAATTTCAACAAACTCCACTGAACTATCATCACTTTTGCAAAAAATTCAAAGTGATCTATTAATTTGGTAAAATAATAATAATAAATAAATAAAACTGTGTATGTATGTTTATAGGTGGTGGTTTTTTTTTTTTTTTTCGTTAATCCATGATAGGTTGGGGGAGTTTTTGTATTATAGAGTTACGAATGTCCATGAGAAGCAAATGTTGGGATCGACAAAAACCATTGAACATATGATTGTTTCTTCCAATCCATTCATGATAGATGGTTGCTGAGAGGGCCAATTTATGAAAAACATGGAATCTCTGAAAGTCCTGGAAGCATGTCTAGAGGAACAACTTTTATGATGAAGAGAGTAAGGGCATCAATGCCTGGAAATCAATGAGGATTACTGCCTAGAATAGACTTGAAGCATGTCACTATGGCTTCATTAAGTGGTTCTGCTCCATGAATCTCATTTCTAAATGAATCATTGATGGATAAGATCTTTCTTCTGTTTTGTCTGGATTCAATAGATTTGAAGAAGAAAAAAGTATTGCAATCACCTAGATTAAGCTATCTAATCCTTGACTTCTACTTGAGGTCCTGTTCATGTGAGCTCAAACCAAACTATTGGGAGCGAATATTAGCATTAAGGGATTAAGATCAAGGGCTTCTTGATATTCGAGAAAGGGATTTTTTTAGTCAGGGAGATTTGCTGAGAAATGTCTGACGGTGTGGTTTTGGCTAGTAGTTTCAGTAGAGCCTTGAGGGATTTGAGATTTTTCACTACCTGGTACATGGATGTGCCTTCAATATATTTACTTTAGTGGCTAGACACAGTTTGTTGGAAGAGTGGTTTGGATGCCCACGAGTTAAAAAACCTGAATGGTGTCTTGCTGGGATTCACCAATGGTAACTAATATTGGACTATGATCTGAGGGGCCTTGAAGAAAGAAATTTCATTCAGAGCAAGGGAACGTGGAGTGCCATTGAGGGTTGAAGAGTGTATGATAAAGCTTCCTTACAATTTTTGCACAACCCTCACTTTTGTTGTTCCAAGTATAGAAGATGCCCTTGTCTCTCAAGTCATTCAACTCATATTGTTGGATGCAGTCTCTATACTCAAAGATAGCAACATTCATTCTTCCCAAGACTCCATGACTCAGAGTAAGACTAGTGATGGGATTAAAGTCCCCCAAGAATAACCATGGGTGAGAGGAAAACATTGATGAGTGGTCAATTATATCTTCTCAGAAAAGCCTTCTCTCAAGTGGGGTATAAATGAAGTCATGAGGTCAATGTTACAGTCCATAACTGAGATGGAACAGTGCATGCTCTGTCTACTATCCTGAAGTAGAACTACGTTAACTCTTGAGGGCTTCCATAAGATCCACATATTTCCCAATAGGGAGTGGGAAAAATTATGCATGATGGACAAGAAGTGGCAATATTCCTGTGGATTGAATCCACATTGGCCAAGTTGACCCTTGTTTTCAATAATTGCAATAATGTCCACATTATTCTCAGCAATGAAGTTGTTGATTTAAAGCTGTTTAGAGGTCATGCTGAGCCCTCTTATGTTCCATACTGCAATACTAATCATTTGGAAAGGGTTTTAGAGGGACCCTTCCATTGCATGTTCCTTTTAAGGGAACATATGCATTAGCATGAGGCTACTAATAGTTTTATCATTTTTGTTGGGAATAGGAGGTACTGACCTAACCTTCTTGAGCTTTCTTAAAATGTTAATTTGAATCAAATTTTACAGGGATAGTGGAGCCTAAATTGCTTGAAGAGCTCTCTAAAATATTTTCATGGCTATGTCCCTGCATGTTGGGCAACATTGTGGAGCCCTAACCACTTGTATCTTGAAAACAATGAAACCTGTTAATGGATGGTGAGAGAAAAACATTGAGCTTGTGTTTCCCTTTGTCAAGATCAATGTAGGACCTGAATGATGGTGATGATGGTTTGGTATGGTGGATGAGCTGCAAGGAGAATGGATAGAGTCTGAATTAAGTGCTAAAACAAGGGTAGATATGGAAAGGGACCCGTTTTACTGTGAAATAACCCACAAGAAATGTCGTCCAATAAGCGATACCTTCCTCTTCAACTCCTTTTGGTGGATCAATTGATGGGTATGGTTACAATCAAAGGTTGATGGCTTAAGGTACTCAAAAACCATTATATCGGAGCCAGCCTATAAAGATCTAAGTATCTAACCACCTGAGCCCAGGTCCGTGGAGATTTGGATAAGGATGGAGAAGGCCTAATGGAATGACCACTTGTTTAAGTATCCTGGTTATTACCCAGAGTGCTGGTGTCAAGCAAAGGAACTGTATACCTTCTAATAGGATTCAAATATGAATTTGAATGTGGTGTAGTAAATGTGGTCGGAGCGCAGAGACAAGGTAGACCACTGGAGCAGGAGCAGCCTGCAATGATTGGAGCCCTCTTTGATTTCTCTGCTAACTCTGAACGGAGGATAGGGTCTTGATGGATGGGTAAGAATGGTGGTTTTAGATGGTTGGGTTGAGGGATCTTGATGGAAGACTTCATGGTGAATCATTTACACTCAACATTACACGTACCCTAGATTTACAAAGTTGCAATATAATCCCATCATTGTATCTATATTATGATCCATATGTTTCTTTTTTTCTTTTTTCTTTTTTGGTGAAATGAAAATGGGAAATGTATCATAGAGAATTTTCTATGATAGAATTTATGTTCAAATCAATTGAGTCCTATAATAGGATCCATCTTTTCATTTATTTATTTATTTATTTTTTTTTTTTTTTTTGAAAGGTATAATAGGATCCATCTTGCCATGCATAAATAGATAAACAATGTTGCGAATTAATGTAAATGATCATCTTACGTGGCAACACTCTCGACCATGAGATTGAGAATCGGTAAGCATCAAGATCCATTCCTTTAATGATATTCACATCTTCCTACATAATTAAAATGGAGAAATTAATAATAATATTAATCAAAAAAATTTTTAATCCAGTGTGATGTCATTTAAATAGCCAGCATAATTTTTTTTTCTCCCAAATGCTTAGCATAAAAGTTGAGCATACATAAATCTCTCTCTCTCTCTCTGTCTATATATACCTTGTAACGATGATAAGAATCAACGGCCACATCTCCATTGCTACGATCCGCTATCTTTTCTAAAATTTTGCAATAAGAAGTTTCAGTAACCAGATATATATAACAGGACTCTCATTTAGATATAAAAGAGATATCATTATACTTTAGTCTTTGGCCGGTGTTATCCTCCGGTCATATTGGAATGGCCAAATTGCCTTTTTATATTATGTTATGATAAATATAGTGTACTGTTTTTGGTTGCCTTAATTATAAAATTTTATTTTAAAAAGAAAAAGAATGAAATTGGATATAACCAAAATCATACTTCAAGTCGTTGTTAAATATTATAAGTTAATGAAACTGAATGTAACCAAAATCTTACTTCAACTTATGTTAATTATAAAAAGTCTATATGGCTAAGCTGGGACATCGTAATACAAGAGATTGTTTAAGCAATTTGATCAACAATGTTTGAAAGCTATTCTTTAATAAAAATAATAATAATAATAATGACAAATTGCATTAAACTTTTGGCCCAATACCCCACTAAGAAAAAATTAAATAAATAAACACAAGAACTACTGAATTGTTGAATGAACCTTACATGTAATGCTCGGGGTTATTTAACGGTGACTTAAAAAAACCAAACTAGGTCACTGTGTACCCTTAACCAATGAACAGTCGTGTTTTTCCGTTGAAACTCCATGTACTTCGGTTATTGAGAGTGTTTATTTATTTTTTTGTTTTTTTTGTTTATTGCTACAAATCTATAATTTATATGACTATCCATTGGTTGCAAGTACATGCCACGTGTAAGTATGTACCCCCATATTGTATAGTTTCTCCTTCTAAGTCTTTAACTCAACTAGACTCAGTTACCCAACCTCTACAAGCATACAAGTTGAAGAGCTAGTGGCAACTGACTGAAAACCTAGATTAAGACATGTTTTCAGCCTCAGAGCGATTTCGCAAATTCTTATACTTGGTGATCTTAGAGAGGGAGGGAGAGAGACAGAGACAGACCAGGGTATTTGTGTGTGAAAGTATCCCATATACTTGGGCCTCTACCACCTTCACTTGCAGCACCTTCAACCTGAAAATAATTATAAATTAATAAGGATTCAGCACACATATTTGTCAGAAACATACACAAAAAAATTGTGGTTTGCTGGTAACGTCATATATGTAGAGTTTACCTTACATTCTTGTATACCAAAGGTCACCAGATTAGACAATGCTCATATATATATATATATATACACACACATATATATATACCTGGTAAGCTGCAGATGCTGCTCCAAAGACAAAACCCTCCGGGAAACTGCTACGGTTGAGAGAACCTAAACGGTAACTCGGAGATAAAATTTTGCTTTTGTGAGCGGTTACATTCACAGCCCTGCCATAAGTCCATGGCAATGCTACACTGCTGGTCAGTCTGGTCACTACATTGACAAGGACCAGTAGGGCTAAGAGGAAATGGATTTGAATACCCATTCCTCTTTCTTATGGTTATGACGATATTAGCTCTAATGTAGCAAGAGGGCTCTGGTTTTTATAGAGCTATATACGGTTAAAGATGGAGTTATTCATAATTACTATTTTCCTTCTATGTCAAATGCCATATTTTCCTACAAGCACGTTGTGGATATCATGTCCTTCCCTACACTTGGACCAACCTTATTCAATGGGCTGCCTACCATTGGACAGGGATGTCTACAATCACAAGCAACTCAATCTCTAAACTAAGCCTGGCATCACTGGTGTACAACATCCGGATGGAACGGAATCGGCGAATTTTTAAGAAAAAGTCTCTCTCCACCAATTCCATCGATCATGCACCTCACCTTTAGAACCTGTCAGAGGCATGATTCTTCTATCAACAATCAAGGACTCCCACGACAGTAGAAGAATTGCGGATGAATGGGAGGTCCCTGAATCAACTATCCGCCCACCACCAAAGCCGCCGGACCAAGCATGCTAACTGCATGTTTTATAACAATACATTACAAAATTCAGCTTAAAAAAATGAATACGTAAAAATACGAATTCAAATGCGTATAAATATAATATGATGTATGAACTAAAAAATCAGCTATACACATCTTATTTATTTTGTTATATATCATATCTTTGTAGAGAAATTAAAAGAAAATGTAACAAATAATAACATATATAAAAATGTAACAAATAATAAAATAAATTTTCATTTTACGCAAATTGGTACTATCACAATAACCATGAAAGAAATAAACGAAGTAAATATAATTAATCAATAACCATAATATCATCATTTCATCACCAAAAAATAAAAAATATAATTCAAATAATTATGTTTATCTAAAAATAAATAATTAAAAACTCTCTCTTTATCCCATCTTACTTGATAGTCCAAGATGGTAAAAGGGTCATATGATTTTATTGGCATAAATTACTACACTGCTGTTTATGCAGCCTATATATCCAACTACACTGTTGTAACTGTAAGTTACGCAACCGATTCCGGAGTTAATCTTACATGTAAGTTCTCTCAAACTCATCGAATTTCGCTTTGAACTGATTCAAAATTATAGTGCATCTTCTTTTGTACTAAATGATATCTGTTTTTTATAGCATCGAGGAATATATATATATATATATATATATATATATATATAGTGTTAAAATAAACATGATACAATACAATTTATATATGCTAAGTATAACAAACTCGATCCCCCTCTCCTTTTGCATGATTTACATGTGGGACATGAAACCATGAAACCACCTAACCTCAACCGCCGGCCACCGAACCATTTGAAACCACCATTCTTACCATCTCACAGTACCAAACTCACCATTATCTCTCACCATCCAAACCTAAACCTCCATTACACACCCAGAATACAACTCCTAGTACCAAACAAGCACATATTTCCCACTCCTCACAAAGCAAGCTCCCTCCCCAATCCCCCAGTTGCACCCAAACCCCATATCCCACCCACGAAAAATGTGGGGAAGGCCCATCTGCCCCCACGTTCACCTTTACCATCTAAGACACGTCAACCTTTCAATCCATCACGAAGTCATGACCCCAATTATCTTCTCCCACGTTCACCTACAGTCACAGGAGCCACAAAGGAGAAGGTTCAGCTTGCACTGCAGAATGACAGGCTCTTGAATCCCTCAGGGCTTGAAGTCAATGACATTGTTCTACTGCCGGAGGGCATTGATGCGGCGGTCATGGATGCTACAAAGTTTGAACTCATTGAGTAAGTTGTTAGGCTTAAGTCTCTGCTTCGGGAGAAGGATTCGGAATTAGCAAAAGTCCAGAGTATGCGTAAGTCTCATCCACAACTACCTATATCTATACTTAAAAGACCTTCACCCACATGCAAATCATTTACCAATAAACCACCACATGGAACCCCCAACTTACCATCAACAACAGCTGCCATGAAGGCCCCCAAAAAAGTCACCTTCTCATCCACCATCCAAAACAACTCATCAGCTCACCACCACATTTTCCTTGATGACCACAATAGCATCATGGAAGGCATTGATCCAACAAACATACAGGCCTTGCTGGATGAAATTTTCAGATGTGCAGCAACTTCGAGGTGGTCGTTGTGGTGGCTGTGGTTGCTGGAGGTGGTGATGGTAGCTATGGGAGGAAGAGTTTGAGGCGTTTCTGTGATTGCAAGCTAGTTACAGGAGTCATCTTGGACTTTAGAGAATTCCATACGAGCACAAGCAGTGGAATGGTTAACGCTGATAACTTGAACCACCAGGTAATACCCTTATTCAACCTACTCTTTCTTATCACACTCCCATGCCTATCTAAGGCCCTATACCCATTCCCCCACGTGAGGTAACTGTGCACAATCACCTACCCTCTAAGGATGACACACCTACCAACCTCCTTCTGCAAACCTCTTCACTCAATAACCACAATCCAAATCCAACTAAACCTACAGAAAGTAACCACAACCAAAATAGTTGTCTCATCACAAACCCAACTAATCCTCCCACACAATCTAACCAAGCTGTATCACCTTCCACTTAGGCAGACATTGTCCAAAAAATAACTAAAACTCCATTGACATTTATCAAACCCCTTGATTCTGGAACCACATCCACGATTCTATCACCACCACTTGACATTGAACATGCTGGTTTATACCTTCTGAAAACTAGTCTTCTTGACTATTTTGTTCATAAGAGCCTTCCATTTGGAATGATTAAGGACCTGTGCACTCAGTTATGGGCTGACAAGGGCCTCATTAAAATCACCAGCCCAACGAAAGGGATTTTTGAGTTCCATTTCTCAACCCTTAACCAATGCAATCTTATCCTTACTGAAGGACCATGGTTTCTAGCCAATAAACCATTGATCCTCAACCATTGGGAACCTTGTTTTAAAAAATGCCAGTATTCTTCTGTCTCATTATGGATCAAATTGTATGGAGGAATGGCAAACCATTCCTTCAAAAAAACCTCCAAACAGCATTCAGACCTCACCACATGCCTTTCACTCCTCCTAATCACCAACTTCTCTGAACCTAGCTTTACCCTGGTCAAAATGTCATTACTCACTACTTTAAACCAAATGAGAACCTTACCATTGATCTCAGCCCTAACAAACCTTCCCTCATTGAAACAAATGCTCAACTTGATATTGACAATCCTCCATCACCACCCCCTAAACTCAACTGTACTATCACCTACCATCTTCTCCAAACTGCACATCCAGAGAGCTCAATCTCTGAGTCTGAATCCTCTTTATCCCAACTAGCAGACTTAAACAAAGTCAGAACCAGCAAGGATGCCAAAGGCAAATGCAAGAAAAAGGTTGCTCCAAAGAAAGGATCAATTTCTCAGAGAGGGAATCTATTTCCCAGTGGCAATTTCTTCAATATCATTAAATGGTATCAATAGCTTTCTGGAATATAAGGGGTCTCAATGACCCCTTAAAGTAGTCTAAAGTTAGAAGACTCCTCAAAGAAAAGCAAGTTGACATTACAGCCATTATTGAGACCAAAGTTCATCCAAACAATATTGACAAAATTCATAAAGTCATTGCTGGATCTTGGAGACTGCTTCATAACTATCAATTTTTTCAATTGGGTAGAATTTGGGTTTTATGGAATCCCAACACAGTCCACCTTCAAGCTCTTAACAGCACAAGACAAGCCATTCATTGTTCAGTTTCCATCCGCAGTTGCAGAACCAATTTCTTTGTTTCCTCATTTATGGAGCCAATGATGCCCCTGAGAGAGAAAGTCTTTGGAAAGATATTGAGCATCATTCTACTATCTTCTCATCCTCACCATGGATTCTTGGAGGTGACTTCAATAGCACAATCTCAGTATTGGAATGTTTTGGTGGATCTAAGAAAACATCAAAAGGAATGCTTGATTTCAAAAAATGTCTTCACCAATCCAACCTAGATGACCTCAACTTCTCAGGCATTTTTTTTTCTTGGACCAACAAGAGTCCTGGTACAGCCAACATTTCCAAGAAACTTGATAGAGTCCTAATCAATGATTTTTGGAACTAATCATTTCCACTCTCCCACTACCATTTCCTACCACAAGGTATTTCTGACCATTGCCCCATGCTTGTTACACTTGGCAACCCTAAACCAGTGAGGAAAGTACCCTTTAGATTCTTCAACTACTAGGCTGATAATGATGATTTCCTACCATTAATCCACTCAATTTGGAACCAGCAGGTTGAAGGCGATCCCATGTTTTATGTTTACACTAAGCTCAAAAGACTTAAGCAACCATTGAAGAGTAGATTCTTTATTCATTTTGAGGCAATTAAAATCTAGGTTCAAGTTGTAAAAGACAACTTAACACATTGCCAGCTAGCCCTTGATAGCAAACCAGATGATTGCTCACTAAGATTACAGAAGAAACAGCTTTGTGCCACCTACTCCAAGCTTTGTGCGGCTGAAGAAATGACCTACAGGCAGAAATCAAGGGTATAGTGGCTTAGAGCAGGGGACAAAAAATTCTTCCTTCCTCTACAAGTCTGTGGTCTCAAAATGTAACAAGAATAAGATCTCCAGCCTTACTTCAGCCAATGGTGAACTCCTTCTAATTGAGGATGCCATCAAATTGGAAGCTATATATATCCTACTTTACCAATGTTTTGGGAATGAACCCCCACCCCTACCTAGGTATTAATTACCTCTCACCATTTATCAACCCATCTTTACCCCAACATTTTATACCATCACTTTGCTCAATCCCCACTGATGATGAAATTAGACATTGCATGTTCTCCCATAGTAGTGGGAAGGCCCCTGGACATGATGGCTTTAATGCCCTAATCTTTAAAAAATCTTGGTCAATCATTGGTCCTGATATCACCACTGCCATTAAACAATTCTTCACTTCTGGTAAGCTTCTCAAGGAAGTCAATTCAACTTAACTCTCCCTTGTTCCAAAAACCTTAAACCCCACAAGCCTTAATGAATTTAGACCTATCTCACGCTGCTCCACAATTTA